ATCAGCTTAAAGCACTTGTTGCAGGCTGCTGAGTTTGCATCTTTTGCTGTGAAGTACAGCCAGACTTTTGACCGCTTCGCTTTGGGCATTTTTAATCTGTAGCTCTGCTCTAAAAGAACGTATGTACCTGGGCCCGCCTACTTCCTTGGAAAGGTAAAATGATTGGCTAGAATCCAAAGTGTATGACATCGCAGGAAAAAAAAAAGCACCGAAATGTGCGCTGCTTTTCGGTCTGGTTACTACCGTTTATGTCAGAACCGGTGCACCGGATACTGGCACCCATCCCTACCCCTAACCAATACTCAAAAGCAGAAACGGCTGCAGTGGGCCCAGAACTACATGACGACTAGTTTTAAAACAGTCTTGTTCACTGATGAGTGCCATACAACCTTGGATGGTCCAGATGGATGGTGGTGGCTGGTTGGTGGATGGCCACCATGTCCCAACAAGGCTGTGACATCAGCAAGGAGGTGGTGGAGTCATGTCTTGGGGCGGAATCACAGGGAGAGAGCTGGTCCGGCCCTTTAGGGCCCCTGAATGTGTGAAAATGGCCACTGCAAAGTATGTGGATTTTCTGACTGACCACTTTCTTCCATGATAGGAAAAGAAGAACCATACTTTCCGCAACAAAATCATCTTCATGTTAGACAATGCACCATCTCATGCTGCAAGGAATACCTCTGCATCATTGGCTGCTATCAGCATAAAAGGAGAGAAACTTATATTGTGACCCCCATCCTCCCCTAACCTCAATCCTATTGAGAACCTTTGGAGCATCCTCAAGCAAAAAACTATGAGGGTGGGAGGCAGTTCACATCCAAACAGCAGCTCTGGGAGGCTATTCTGACATCCTGCAAAGACATTCAAGCAGAAACTCTCCAAAAACTCACAAGTTCCATGGATGCAAGAACTGTGCTGTGAAACTGCTATCAAATAAGGGGTCCTATGTTAATATGTAACTTGACCTTTTAAGAGGTTTTTGATTGAAATAGCTTTTGATTTCAGTAAATATAATCTCCTAATGCTGCAAATTCAACAAATGACCACTTTCAATTCTCTACAATCTTTAAAATGTTTTGAAACTCTGTTTGCGTAATAATTTGGAACAGTGCATTTTAAGTTTTTTATTTTTGAAAAACATACTGTTTTCATTGGGAGGTTTGTTGAGTAACATTTGAATTATACTCTAATGCTTGATGACTCGAAAATCATGCTGTCATTTGAATCGACTATTTAGGAAAATCAGAGAAAATATCATTTGCATGATAATTTGGAACGCGGTGTATATTTAAAGATAGTGCTGTCAGCTCACAACATATTCTAGCAAAGTATGTAGCTGTCCTTCAAACTAAGTTCAGAAAAAAACTGGCTACAAATGTAATGACTACAAAAAACATGAAGCTACTTCTTCTCTTTTTTCAATTTACTAGTACAGTTTAAAAGTTTATATTTGTGTATCTTTCTCAGGTTTTGAACCTACAATCATTTGTATGAGCATATCTGTCTACATGTCTACACTGTACGTGTATGAATGGATCCCAGTGATACAATAATGCTAGTAAAATACAGAGTTACTTGTGTCTACTCTAAAGCCTGAACCATAAAATAATTACCTTTTTTTTTTTTAAAAACAAAACAAAACAATGGAGTATCAAATAAGTAAATAAACATTAATTGGCATATATGAGTTAAAAAAAAACCCCAATAACAACTCATGTATCAAATATGATTCACTTGGCTTTTACGTTGTCGATGAAATTCTCAGCAGTCACTAGTGCCTACAATACCCAGAATCCCTGCTGCTCCAGCAAAGCTAGCGTACCGAACGTTAGTTACGCAACGTAGTTTCAAAGGTTGTATATATCTGTCGGGGTTCCCGTCCAGGAAATATGATGTGACTGTAAGTTAAGAAAGTTTTTTGTGCTTTTTGATGACAATGAACCTTCCACAGGTAAGAGTCTGTCTGGCTCTAATAAATAAAATATATAAAAAGTGGGCCTACTTTGTTCATGAAATGAAACACAGCATTGACTGTGCGAGAACACGGCGCGGAAATGCATCGAAAATCATCGCTTCTGGATTTTAAAAAAGAAAACATGACCACAATAGCTAAATGAACTTCTTGAAAACAGTAGTTATCACTCCAAAACATCTGGAAAACAGGATTCAAAGCTTTTTTATGTGAAAAATATCCCACTTGAAAAACTTTCTAAAAGCCAGTTGTTCGCTCTGTTCGGTCTGAACGTTATCAGAGTAGCTTACCTCTCTGAGTGTTTGTGAAATGTCAAAGAATATCTTTGGGCACACTAGAGTTTCAGATTTGTGTATTAATTCAAGGTCCTGCTGGTTTTCGTTCATTTCTTTTCCTCTTATAAATAAATAAAGCTTTCTTTTAATTAATCCATTGCAGTGTGTTATGTTACTGCATTTTAGTCACTTATGTTTCCCCACATCTCAACTGGTCAAGCTGTTTCTCTCTGTTATCCAGCAGATAAGAGCTGATATTCTGTCTGCTTTCACCACTCACCTCTTTCTCTTTGTTTCCAGGTCTTTTCAGTCTGCTGTCATGAGCTCTTGATGTCTGTCTTGTTATAAGTCATCATGAGTGGTGCTGCGCTGGCTGTTGTGGTGGTGGTCGTTTTTTTCTTGGCCCTCTACCTCCTCCAGCGTTATGGAGATCTGTGGAAGCAGCAGAGGCTGGTCCTGTTTGGAACGCTGCTGTCCTGGTACCTGTGCTTCCTCATCGTCTTCATCCTACCACTTGATGTCAGCATGGTACTAGACATTAATTTCTTTATTAGTGTAACTTTATTTTTTCAGGGGGTGGGGGTGGGCAAGAGTAAGATTTTTATGTGCTTTTTGAAAAAATTTCTCTAAGTAAGGTTGAGCTGTGTGTTTATTTATACAAATCTCACCTCTGGGGTCTTATATTAACTATGTTCACTGCACTTTTACATGTGTTTGCCTGACTGTGCAAACTCTACTCTTCTGCCAGGCTGTCTACAATCAGTGCAATTCTAACATTACAAACACCACTACTGCAACTCCAACGAACCCCAGTAGTAGGAGTGAGGCCAACTTGTCTCCTTTTCCATCTATGAGGTAAAGACGTTGTTTTGATTTATCAGAAATAGGGCCATAGTTTTCCAGATTTGCTCCACCGCCATGCAGCATTATACACAACACAGCAGATAATCTGCTGATCTGCACATATCCACTTTGTCCGTGTTTGTTTAGCAAAGGAGCCAGCATTCCACGGGGATCTCATAATCTCATTTGCCCATCTTTCACATGACTTCTCCATGTATTTGATTGCTTTAAGCCCAAGTAAAGCCTTACAACTGAACAGACTTTATTCACTCAGTTCAAGTCACTCTACTGTTTTGTTTGGTATTCTAAAACTGTTAAGAATCTGCGTTTTTTTGCTTATTTGTAATTCTCCTAGATGATATCAGTACTCATCATTTTTATGTGTTACATACACTCACCGGCCACTTTATTAGTTACACCTAGTTAGCAATGGGTTGGACTCCTTTAATTCTTTGGGGCATAGATTCAAGAAGTCGCTCTTATCAATACTGATATGATAGCATCACATAATTCCTGCAGAATTGTCAGCTGCACTTGCATGATTATAATTTCTCATTCCACCACATTCCAAAGGTGCTCAATGGAATTGAGATCTGGTGACTGTGGAGACCTTTTGAGATACTCCAGTAGGCTCTCTTGTAATGCTCTGCTGATATTAAGGGGACGAAAGTCTGCCAAGAAAATATCTTCACAGCATTACACCGCAGCCAGCAGCATCCTGAAGTGTTGATACATGTTGGCATAAACAACATGTGCTTTCATGTTGTTTATGCCAAATTCACAAGTGAGTAGTTATTCAACTTACTATTGCCTTCCTATCAGATATTTGCGTGAACGAGCAAGTGTATCTAACACAGTGGCTGATCGGTGTCATCTCTCAGATTTCACCCTTCACCCTAATACAATGGAGGTGAATTAAATTCCATTCGTGGCTCTCGCAGCTTTGAGAAATACAGTTTTAGAATTCAGGAGTAATACTTCTTTACAAAAATGTTACCGCATTTAGTTCGTACATTGTTTTATTTTATTGGAGCTATTTTTTATTAGAAATCTGTCATGAAATGTGGGGGCACTGAACCTTTTAGGGGCAATGAGTGATTTTGAAATGGCAACAAAATCCATACAGTGTATATTTTATGGATTCAAGGTGTGGTTGTGTTAAAGTTGTGATGATGTATCATGTGGCTTTTGAGCATTTAGAATTTTATACCTGGCTTCCAGTGTGCTTTTTTTCTCTAATTCTTTAATCTTCTGTGTGCGCTTCAGTCCACCAGGCAAGTGTGAGGAGCCTTGGACTTATATTCCAAATGACACCCTCGAAGTGTTTTGGAGAGTTGTATACTGGACGTCTCAGTTTCTTACATGGTAAGATCCTCTTACTCATAAACATACGATAAAAAAAAGCGTCCCATGTTAGGAGTCAGGATGTCTAAGTGTTCCACCAGAGGGCACTCTCTATCCTCCCTGTTGGCAATAGGTGTATCTGATATCTCTGTGTTGGTGTTGGTCCTGGATCATCATAGTTACTGTTGGTCTGGATTCATCATTTCATGTGACCAGTCACATTGTTATGATGCCATAGTTTTGCGATGTGAAAACGGACCTGCCGATGTTCACTCAGGAAAAAAGGGTTATGGGGTCTGATCAGGCTTAGGCAGAGTGCAAATGAGTTGTTGTGACATTAAAACCAGACTGTTTTGAAAAAAGTTATCATATTATCTTAGTAATGAGTCTGACTAACTAACTAAATATTAAAAATGTTAAGGAAATGTGTTTATCTGTAATGCGTCTCCAAAAAATATTAGCTGATATTTTAAATTTTTAAATCAGCAATAATCGGTGAAAAAATTCCTATATCAGTTGGGCTCTAATTCATTCTTCTTCTTCTTCTTCTTTTTTTTTACACACTATTCTACCTTAAGTTAAAAAATTTTTGACTTTCCTTTTCTCTCTGTTTCTTTCTGTCTGTTCTCTGTGTGAGCATGCAGGCTGCTGTTGCCCTTTATGCAGTCTTATGCACGCTCAGGAGCTTTCTCAGTGGTTGGAAAGATCAAAACAGCTTTAATTGAAAATGCACTTTATTATGGCTCATACCTTCTCATCTTCATCGCTCTGCTCATCTATGTGGCTGTTCAGCTAAAGTGGAAACTGACCTTGTAAGTCGAGTTGGAACTGTATGCACTATATTTCAATTTGTGCTTTCTGGTTAGCATAATCAGCATAATCTACTTTCTTTCTTTTAAATCATGTAGGGCGGACCTCCAGACCATAGGGATTACAGCTGCCAACACCTGGGGACTCTTCCTCCTGGTCCTGTTGCTAGGCTATGGCTTGGTGGAAATCCCACGGTCTTATTGGCTGTCATCTTCCCACAATTACGTGCTATCCAAGAGCTACTTCAAGGTAGCAAAGATGGCTACTGAGAAGGCAGAGGCAGATGAGAAACTTGCAGATGTCATGGAGGCAAGGGTTAACCTTGAAACAGAATAAAGAATAAACTGCAGCATATTATTTTTTTTTCTTTACAAAAATAATCTGCTTTTTTTAACAGGAGGTTGCAGGCATCCATGCCTCTGTCAGGCAAAACCACTTTCTAAGGAAGTATGTGGACATAATTTTGACAAAGGTAAGAAATGAAACCAAATTCCACAAACAGTTTTTTCCTCATGCATATATTGTGCATTTTCAGCTTGTACACCGGGCTCATTTGAGTGTCATTTCACTTCAGTGTCCCACAAAGTACCAAGAAGAGATGGGAATAAATGTGGAAATCTCTCGCGTGGACCAGAATGCCCCTCCCACCAAAAGAGTCCTAGTTAAACTTCATGAAAAAGTAATTAATTCTTTTTAAAATTGCACTGTGAATTAAAAAAAAATAAAGCAAAAAAAAATATGATTAAACATTAAAATGCCTGTAAAAAGTGTTTGCCCATCTTTCCTGTATGTTTTGTATTTGCGTGTGTGTTTTCAGGTGGTCAGCGCAGTGCAAAGACACAATCAGACTCAGGTTCAGTGGTCTATCCTGTTAGAGCAGGCCTTTCATCTGGAAGATGTAGCAAAAAGCCGGAACAGCTCGCTCCGACACTTCACCCACAGCTTCCCTTTAGCACACCGTGGCTGGATCCGTAGGTTCATCTACACTCCAACTGTAGGTGAGTTCTTAGATTCCCACATGGACTATTAAAAGTAAAACTTATTATGGCATTGATGATATATCTAATACAGCCTTAAAAATGTTCTTGAATATCTGCCATAATAGAAAGTTGTGGGTTTTTTTCAGTTAGCAACAAGAATATTTCTCTTTTTTTGAACTGTTTGTCGTCTGGCAAACAACATGCAACTTTTAGGGACACTCGGTCTAGTAATAAATTCTTCGCGGCAGTCATGTGCCTTTTTTTTGTATAACATAAACGTGAGTTTGCACTTACACGCATATTTGTTTGTTTTGTGTGTGTGTGTGTGTGTGTTCAGAGTGGTTTTGGGAGTGTGTGCTCAGACAGGGCCTCTGCAGGCTGCTGGCCGTCCTCCTGTGCTTACTCTCCGCTGCAGTAATCTGGTCTGAGTGCACCTTCTTCAGCACACACCCCGCCCTTTCTCTGTTTGCGGTCTTTATTCAGTTGGCTGAAAAATGGTACAACTATCATTGCATTGAGGTGAGTATGTATTAGTGCTGTCAGCGTTAATCCCGTTAGAATGACGTTACTACAAGGAGTGACATAGTATTTTGATTTATTTAAAGTTTTTTTTTCTTTTTGCCAGAAAATTGGTGAAAGAAACAAAAGTTTGCCTTTCAAACACTTGGACTCCCACATTATTATTTTATTTAAAACCAACAGAAATCTGCTGTGAACATAAACATGTTGGTTATTTTGTTCTCTTCAGTTCAAGCCTAACCTTCAAACGTGTTTCCTTTTTCTCTCCAACAGATGGTGTGCTTTGTGGGTATCCTGTTCATGTGCGTGTGCGTCTACTCCACAGTTTTCAGGATACGATTTTTCAACTACTATTACCTGGTGCCACATCACCAGACTGATGCTTACAGCCTGCTGTTCAGTGGCATGTATGTGCAGCATATTTACACTATAAGGGATGAAGTGAGTTGAAATGGAAAGTTAGTTAGTCAAACACATCTTTGCATTTTGGTTTCAAATCAATGGAACGATAGGTTACAGGTCAGACTTTCCAAACAGGAAGCACAATTCAGTCTGGTATGCTTAATTTGTGTTGTCCTAATTTTAATATTCTCTCTCTTTTTCCCTGTATTACTCAGGTTATTTTGTCGTCTCACTCCACCTTTATGCCTCAACTTTCTGGGAATGATTCACATGGACTCTGCCATCTCACACAAGAACAGAGTACAGACATCTTACACCTCTGTGGGTTCCACAAATTCACGTATCAACACACACACACACAGACATTTGTACCTGTAAATTAAATGTGTGTTTTTCTTTTCTTTATGTTTTTTTTATCAGATTATGGGCTCTATGCAGCTGCTGTCATTTATATCAGATGGGTTCTACATCTATTATCCCATGCTGGTGTTGCTGCTGTGCTTTGCTACATATTACAAGTAAACCAGCAATCTCTAACAACTTTTGCACATTCTTGTGTATTTTTCCCACCTAAAAATAGTCCAATGGCTGATTTAAGATGTATAAGTACAGCTATAAATATGAGAAATATGAGAACTTATAATATATTTAAAGAAAGCTATGGAACAAATAACAAGTTTTAATAATATTGTTAGAGTAAGTAACATTGTTACAGTTTATCTCATAATAGAGTAAAAATCTGTCTTGTCTATAATCCTTGAAGCGTTGATGGTTTTGTGACTCATGATGTGAAATATTGTATAAGTGTAAAACACTTGTTATTTAAATTATGCTTAAAAATAGCAATTTAATTTTTTGTTGGACTCATTGTTTGAAGTAGAGTTGATAGGACTTTAGCTTTTCTACTGAATTCTGCTTTTGTCCAGAATCTGTAGTGCAAACACATTTCCAAACACATTATCACGCCCTTTATTTGCCAATTTAATCCAGTGTGGTTAAAATCATCCCAGCTATACACTACCCACCTGTTTATCACAAATTGCACGGTAGAAATGTAGTCGTTTTATACTTTTTATTACTCTGATACACTTAAGATGAAGGTTAATTATGAGCAATAAAACGGCCATTTTGCAGAAGGAATCTGCTCTGAAAAACCCATCACGTTTTAGTCTTGAGTACAAGAACTTATGTGTTACAGTATGTATGTCAATCATTTTGTTTTGTAGTCTGGGGTCTCGCTGTTTGAACCTCTTGGGCTTCCATCAGTACATCACTGATGATGATTTGATCTCTGACCTGGTGGATGAAGGCAGGGAACTCATCAAAAGAGGTAATTTGATCACAAGTTCAATTGCTTACTCTTTCTGAAGTTTCTGTGCATCAGAGCAGTTTTGGCAGCTAAACATATTCAGGTTTTTACAGTTAATGTTTTCATGCATTATTATAGTAACCTATGAAAAATGTTTTTTTGTATGTTTGTTATGTTTGCACTGTATGTTTTATAATTTGTTCTTCTGTAGAAAGAAGGAAAAGACAAAGAGCTGAAGATGGAGAGAATCGAAGATGGGTAGATATTTTCTTTCTTTAGTTGCTCAAGACAAGAAGATCTATCCAGCCTATTGGCTTGCCGGTTCTACTGGTTTGTGTGTATAGTGTGCCTACTTTGTTTTGTGCTTCAGGCGTGGAGGGAGCGGTATGGTGTCGATGGGGCCACTGGGCGGAACAGAGCTGGTTACACTGAGTTAAAGGATAACCAGAAGGAGCCTGTAACAAAGATCAAGAAAAGTGGTAGGACTCTTTCTCATATCACTACATCTATCTAATATTTTCTTCACACTTTTTTTTAAAATCGATATTTGTCCACCTAACTTGCTGCTCATACAAGAAACTAAAAATCTATAATTTTAGACCTAGGGCACCTCACCCACATGAGATACATATCCATACAGGCTTTACAGCTTGCCTGATTGGGTTTCTTTGGAAGAAGCACCACCCCTGTGTTCCCACAGGAAGTTATTCTTAGGTTTCTATGAACATGACACAAGTAAAAAGAACTTATCATACAGGAATCTATGCAAAAGACTGAACAAGTATGGCATGTTTGGAAGTGCTGCCACAAGAAGGCCTCTTTTCTCTAAAAAGAACATGGCAGCATGGCTTTGGTTTATATTTTATTATCCAAACACAGCAGGAAAACACCTCATACAAGTTATCAAGCATGGTGTGCAGGTGTAATGATTTGGGCCTCAAGACCTGGGCACCTGTTGACCACAAACTGCTCTCTACAAAAAGTATTCTAGAGTTAAATGTGAGGCCATCTGTCTGACAGCTAAAGCCTTGTTGTAGCTTGGTAATGCAACAAGATAATGATTCTGAGCAGCAGCAACAAGTTGGAATCAAAGTGTTGTAAAATTACAGTCAAATTAAAGATCTCAATCTGATTCAAATTATGTGGCAAGAACCTAATACGCTGCACATGAACAACTGCCTGCTTTACATCTATATATATTTCTACATATATAAATATCTAGCAGATGGTAGATGACGGTCATTTCTTTGCTGCAGATGATTATTACGAAGAACATTTCTAGAGTTTTTAACATGTCACCACCTTTCCCCTTTGTTTTGAATTACACCAAACATGGATTTTTGATGGATTATCATGATTTATATGGTAAATAAACTGGTTTTTATATTGTGCTTTTCTACTCTACTTAAGCACTCATTATACAACTTGTGTCATTCACCCAGTCATACAGGTACGTTTTTTCTGTGAATGCATACATCGAACTACTAACCTTCCAATTAGTAGATGACCTCTATCTCTGGAGCTATAGCCACCCCTTGTAGAAGAAGTCAACCTGCTTACTAGTGTTGTGCATCTTTTCTTCTCTGTATTCACAGTTGTCACATTTACCAGAAGAAACGAAAAGGCCGGCGAGCAGCAGACGGGCTTACTGCAGGAAGACTCCAGTGATGACGAGTCGCCCAACAGAAGGTATGATGTCATTCAGTACCAAGAATATAGTTGGTTAGTGTTAAAATAAATCTGAATAATATTGTGTTTTAAAAGAATGCTAACAGTCCCTCTCTGTCACACTGTATCACTGTGTTTAATGCTGTAGATCCACAGCAGGAAGTTACCTCACTCTGTCACCTCCAGTGAAGGGCGTGTTTGACGACGTGTGACGCACGAAGGACCTGGAGGGAAATCAAAAAGCTAATATGTGCTGCAAATAGAATAAATGATTCAAATGGTACATTTTCTTCAAAGGGAAGTCTGAATGCAGATAATTCACTCTTAAGAAAAAAAAAGTAAAGATGTTTAATAGATGTAAAATATAACTTTAATAAAGGGTTTTATATCACTAGCATTTTTGGTGGTATTCATAGCGATTGGTAACTGTAAGAACTTAACACATGTGTTTAAATGCATGCTTGATATTGTTATGTTTTATAATAAAATTGGTGGATAACAGAGCTCATAGTATGTGCATAGATTTTATATTTATTTAATTTGAAATTCAATTTCTGTGCCTAAAGCAAAGTGTCATAGAGAATATATCAAAAACATAAACACGTTTAAAGTTGTGTTTTCAACTGTATCTGCTAAATAGCATCATTTTCATGTGGTGCAGTCTCCAGGTATCTATTTATACAATTTTGAACTGTTCAATTGTTATTGTATAAATAAAACATAATGTTTTTGCTTGTACTTTATCTGCTGTTGGATTTTGAGTGGCCTAAAATATATAAAACAGCATCCCAAGATGTCCTTTATAGCACTTTTTTCAAATGTCACAATGTTTATTTTATTTTATGACCTGAGGGTTGTTGTTTTTTTTCTTTTAAATAGATAATTATTGCAAGACAATTGTTTGCAAATATATGGAGAGGTTTATACTGTAACTCCATGAGTGTACAGAGTTTTAGTTTTGTTTTTTTTTACATGTATTTTTTGCAGCCCTCTGCATGTCCTAATGACATAATTTGTCCAATATATCCACTATCCCTTTCAAAAAGATTGCCTCTCTAACTTTTTCTCTACACCACTCAACCTGAGCTGTTCCTGAGGATCTTCAGCTCTGCCACGTCCACCTTGGGCCCCTGACTTTTGCTAGTGCAATGCATACCACCACCTCTCCAGGCATTCTTCCACCTGCTCTAACAATAGAGCACAATGTTGTCTGCAAACATAAGTCCTGCTCATCATCATTAAAAACAAGAAAGGGCTCAGAGCTGAATCTGTGAGTCAGGCCCACCCTTAGTTTGAGCCCATCTGTCACTTCTACCACACAACTCACCACCGTCTCGCTGTCTTCATACATGTCCTCCACCACATTCATATACTTTACCACTCTTGACTTCCTCGTGGAGTACCAAAATTTATCTCTTGAAACCTTATCGTAAGTGCTGAGAGGGTGCAACTTCTTATCACGCTCTCTATACATCTCCATCAACACTCTTAAGGCAAACATAGCACATGAAGCACTCTGGCTTCATGCTATGGCTTTTTACCATTATTCTTCTGTAGTTAATACAGCTCTTCACATTATCCTTGTTCTTGAAGTACTGTGCAGTTCTCCATTCTTCAGGCATCCTCTGAAATTGTATTAAACAATCAAGTTAAAGTCCATTGCCCTCTCTCTCTGACTTCTCCATACCTCCACAGGTATGTCATCTGGACCTTTCCTGTTTCCATTCTCTTGATAGCTCCTCTCACTTCCTCCTTATTATTTCTCTGCACTTCCTGATCCACTAACTTAACTTCATCTGTCCCCCATTTCATTTTTTCTTCATCAGTTTCTCAAAATACTTCTCAACACACCATCTTACATCTCTTGTTGAAATATATGCGTTGACTCCATATTTATGTTATAATTAGCCATAATCATAAAGTTTGTCAACTTGAAAAATCAATTAATGCAATCTAAATAAGACAAACGTTGTTTAATTTTAAAATATTACATGTATCATTAAAAAAAAGATTCAAAAGAAGTCGAAAGACAAATGGGATAAAGAATAATTATTAGTTTGTTTCTTTTTTTGTCATGAACATCTTCATTAAGTTTCAAAACCATTAAACCATAAAAAAGAAAGACAATTCACAAGAAAAAACAAAATTATACTAAAATGTAACTCAAAATAGACAGAGACAGGTTGCAGCACTCTTCCTTGCATGACCAAAAAACAACACCAGTTCTATGAGGTTAGAACGATGACACCTTAAAATAAAACTGGAAAAAATATCGAAAGTGAAAAATTTTACAGTTTCGATTAATCTTTTATTACTATCGTGTTTTTTTCTTCACTTTCAATACAAAATGTTTCAGTACATTTATTTCATTTACAATATTTTTTTTCAGTTTCAATATTTTTTTCTGTTTTATTTTAAGGTGGCATCGTTCTAACCCCATGCAATTCCCACTTAAATGATAAAGCTCATACTTCAGATCAGGCCCAAGAAAGAAAGAAAGGCTGGGTAGAGAAATCCCTATCCTGCTTACATTAGTTTATCTATAAATAATATAATATTTTATTGTTTAATTTGTAATTATTTTTTATATGTATTAGTATTTTTAATATACCTACATTTATTATTTACATTTTATTTAACATGATATGACACGTTAATCTTTCGTTAATCAACCTCTAATTGATAGACCGTTACCGGTGATGCCTTCCTAGGCACTTCGTAAAACACAAATTCTTAGATCTTAAAGTAGCCTAGACTACAGTATTTATTACTTGACAGCAGTCAAAAGTAATAATTTGTGTGTTTTTAAGTTGATATTAGAAAATACTTAAAAAACTTTAGGGGGATTTGTTGTCTATTAATTTATTTATGTGAAACTAAATATGATTTGTTTTTACAGCAGTCAGGGGAGGTACTTGAACGTTTCAATCCTAGGCAGCAGGCAGAGCACACAGACTGAGCTGTCTGTGTGGCAATGATGGATACAAGCTAATCGTCCAACGTTACAAAACGTCTACAAAAGCTGTTGGAATATATTACGAGGTGTCACTCCATATATCGCCTCACAAATTTGGCTCTGATTTCTGACAGGCAGACATATCCGGTAAGTAGGTTCGGCTGCTAGTTTTAGCTAAGCGACCTAAAAACGGTAAGCAACTGTGAAGGAGCAGCGCTGCTAACAATGTTAGCGTTAGCTTGCAACGTTGAGTTCCTTCGCTTCTTCTTTTAGCATTGGCCCAAATTTAAAAACAGATAAATGTGGCCATTTCTTTACACGTTTATGTAGCTTTGTCACACATTTAATAAACAATATACATAAAAAAATTCGAAGTTAGTATTCCTGCTTTCTGTTGACCTGAATTTGTCTAATCAATTATACGAAGGACCCCTTTTTCTCGAGTTCCGTATTATCGCAACCGTCACGATACGGGTGGCTATGATTTATACTGCCAAACACAGCACAGGTATACCCTGGCTCCAGACCTGTGCTTTGATTTAGTAGTAGCCGTCAGATTTTTCTAACGTGATGTTAAATTGAAGGTTTGCTGGTCGTTAGTTTTGTTACATGTTAAACAGTTCTTTGCGCCTTTGCAATCCTTGGGTCATTTGTTTGACGAAGGAGAAACACGGAAAGCAGGAATCCGCATATTATTTACGTCGACAGTATGTATTACAAACTAGACAATACGGCACTTCGTCGGTGATGTGTAATGCTGCTCTTTAGTGTGTAGTTGTTGCATTTTAGCTCCCGTTGGTCCTTGGGAATGTCCTTCTAGCTTGTTTTTTCCCCCCTCCCAATTAAAAACATTTTAACTGAGTCACCACTTTTGAGGACATCTTTTTGCTGTTTGTGGTGCTGGGTATGTTTCAGTGTGACACCGTACAGGTGTGTAATATTTGTAAACATAACACCAAAGCTGCGTATATGTTGTTTCCAATAGAATCACTAAACATACTGTTGTCTGTATGTATGTGCAAATAACATTTCCTGTGTAAGCTTTTTGTGTTTTTGCTGACAAAAAAGCTGCAACAAGCGACAGCGAGCTTTTTTTTTTTTTTTTTTTTTTTTTTTAACATGTCTGCAACCAACTTGCAAAACCACCACCTTTTTGCCAGAAATGCACAGAAAATATGTATTTAAAAGATGCAGTTAGAAAATAAAGTGTGGGGAAGTGTGCTAACCGTGGCTGTGCTTTGTGTGTTTTCAGTTGGTAGACAGCAATGGGTGGGCTGGGGAACGGGCGTCGTGGAGTAAGGTCACCGCCTCTTATGATTGCCGCTCTGATCGCCTGTATCTTGGTTCTGGGCTTTAACTACTGGGTGTCCAGCTCCCGCAACCTGGAGCTTGAGGTGGGTTAAAAAATATTCAAACTCTTCCTCATTTCTTATTTCTTTTGCGTGCTTACATGTTTGTTTGTTTTTACATCTTTCTTTAATAGTCCTTACTTTGATGTTGTGTTGCATGTGTTTTATTTTACCAATATAAATGTGCCAAGAACTGTTCTCGCTTACCGACGTAAAAGAAAATATAAATACTATCATAATTTGGAGGCCTTTGTGACCTTGTAATGATTGCACCAATTATAAATTTATTCTTTTTTTCTTTCACAATCACTATTCACACATAGCTTTGAACTTTGAGTGTCTCCTTTCTTGTAAAATGCCTAGAAGTTAGGCAAGGTTTATACTACCTTGCCCTACCTCACCCCAAAAACGACAGATGGGGAAATATTGTTTGCTTGTTTGCGTTTCCACACAATTACCAGGAAGCTATGCAACACATGCAATTTATACAGTATATATACATTTCTTGCTGTATTTCCTTTTCCGTAAAATACCCATAATTTATGCAGTGCTTAAATTTACTTAACCTCCTAAGACCCGAACTCTTCCACAGTATGCATTTCTAATTTCTCTTTGATATTTGAGCATATCGGTCCTAGGAGGTTAAAATGTAATTATTTCGTCTTCCCTGTAAAATACCTGAAGTTAGGCAATACTAATAACTTCACTCCTGCATTACCTAAAATTACTTACAAATTGCTTAAAATTACTTACATAGCCTCCTGACTACCAGCAATGCAAATTTGTCCTCTGTAGAGCACCTTTCTAAACCTGAATATCTCCTACAGATATCATACTACAGAATTGCCTCCTTTTGGTATCTACAGAGGACATTTAGGGCTTTCCAATGATACCAAATGTGAAGGGGTGGAGCTTTGGGAACTTTAGTTTTTTCATTAAGGAACATGGCAGCCACCGCTGCAAGCACATTTTATGGGAAGAAGAAAAGTAAGTGCATAAAACTTCTTATTGAGCAATTTTTAGCTATAAATGTTGTTAACATATTTTAAATAAGTCTCTTAATAACACATTAAAACATAGTATGCTTAATTCTAACTTCATTTTAGTATAGTATTGAAGTGTTTAAAAAATGTCCTCCATAGTGGACATTTGTAGTCATTTCCTCCATTTTGTTCTGTTTTTTTAAATGACCAGAAAAGGAGTCCTTTTTAGAAGCAGAAAGAAATTTATTGCAGTTTGATGAGGGAAACCCAGATCTTGAGTTGTCTGATGAAGAAGATCATAGGGAATAAGCCCTTGAAGAAGAAAGAAGGAGGAGCATCAGGGATGGTACTCAGACCTGAACTTGCTGTCATTAAGTGGTTGGACAGTTGTCATGGCATCCTCTGCCTATGGCAATCAACCTCAGGACAGATGCACAAGATGGTCTAAGAAAAACAAAAGGTTTGTCCATGTGCCAAGTCCACTGCCAATTTCTGAGTACACTACCAATATAGGTGACGTGGACCTTGTTGCCGAATGTTGAGTTTCTACAGGATGGTCTCTCGCACTCAGAAATTGACAGTATGTGCAGTTTTCTACTTTTTGATCTGGCAATCACCAACTCGTGGCTTCAGTATAGCAGTGACTTGCAGTTTTGGGGGAAGAAACCACTACAGTTCCTTGAGTTCAAACTTCTCCTTGGTGAAGAGTTGAAGCAAATGTTTGCCATCAAAGTTCATTTTTACACGTTTGGCCTTCCAATGTCCTCTGCAGTGGACATGTGATATCTAAAAAATGTAAACTTTTTTTTCCCAAAAAATTATTTCAGTCTTCTAATTACCTTACAAACATTGGGGGATTTAAAATTTTTTTTGATTGGACAACATTTTTTTTTCCTGGTAGTCAGGAGGATAGTACTTAAATGTAATTAAAGTTTAATTATTTTTGTTTCCTTTGAAAACCTGACTTGTTACCCCATTATTCTAGTGTTCTTAGCTTTAAGTACTTACATACTTAAAGGTAAGTACACTAAAATAACAGGGTAACAGGTCAGGTTTGATTTAACAGGGTATTGACACCCTTAGTCACAGGTCATATTATAAAGTATTCCAGAATATTTTCCTTAAAGTCATCAAGTTGTTCTTTTGGCAAATGTAAGAAGAGCCTTTGAGTGATTTTATTTTTTTTATTTTTTATTTTTTTTCTTCCACCATGTCACTCAACCATGGGTGCCATTTTTGCTCACTCTCTTTCTTACTATTGAATTATGAACTCTTAACTGAAGCAAGTGAGACCTGCAGTTCTTTAGATGTTGTTCTGGGTTCCTTTGTTTAAAATGTTTACCATTTTAATGTTGGTAGGCTGGCCACTCCTGGGAAGGTTCACCGCTGTTCCAAATTTTCTTCAATTGTGGATAATGGCTCTCACCGTGTTTCAATTAGATGTGGCTTTGTAACACTTTTCAGATTGATAGATGTCAGTGACTTTGTATTTCATCCGTTAAGAGTTTTTGAGTTTTCGAGTTTTCTTTAGATTGCGACATGATGTGTTGCTTCTTGAGATATTTTAGCCTACTTCGCTTTGTCAGATAGGTTCTATTTAACTGATTTCTTAATTCAACAGGTCTGACAGTGAATAGTGAATAGTAACATTGAATCAGTATTCCAAAAAATGTGGTTAATCTCAGTTAATTGATCATTTTAAATCTGCATCTTTATCAAATTTTAATATTTGTTTATCTGAAGTATGTTAGGGTGACAAATAATTAGGGTGTTTTTTTTTTCAGTCCAGTTTTTATTGTTGTTTAATATATTGCATTAAATGGCAAGACATTTCTGTCAAATAAGGTAAGAAAGACTCCTTTTTTTAGCTTAAATGACACAGGAAATAAGGTAAAACATGCATGTATAACTATATATATCTATATGCATAGTTAACCCTTAAAGACTCATTCTGAACCAGGACGTTTCTGTCATTTTGTTCTCTTCATATGGATGTTATCATGACCCATGACAAATTCTAAATAAGTGGTCTATATAAAAAGCAGTAACGTGATACTGATCTTGCTGCATGTGACACAGACTAAACTGTATGAGCTGGAGGGCCAGGTGCGACGTGGAGCAGACGAGATGAAGAAGAAGAAGGAGTTCGAACAGGTGATCGAGAAACAAAAGGATCAGATCAGCAACATACAAAGTCTCTATAAGAGCAAGCTGGAGGGAGCTGAGATCTCCTGCAGCCAACACAAGGTGCACACAAACAAAACTGGTGACAATAAAACCTTTATGTGCACAAACGCCACCTCAGAGGCGCTGTTTATCAGCTCTTGTCACAAGGGAATCCTTGGGCCAATGAACACACTTTTCTGATTTACTCACTGTTGCGATTCACACCACATAAACATTTTATCAGGGAAAAATTTCATATGAACAATAAATAAGTGTGATAAGTGAGTATTGACATGCGTTGTGTGTTTGTGTTTAGGCCACACTGCAGCAGAACATTTCCTCCAGTGTAAAAACCATACAGGAACTCAAAGGTAACATAATGTTTAGCTTCTGACCCTTTATTTGATTAAAGTGTTGCGTTGACTTAACAACCATCACATGGCCGCTACAAAACTGTGAAGTTAATTTCATGTATGTGTATGTGTGTCTGTGTGTACTGTAGGTCAGCTGAGTTGGCTGAATGATGCTCTGGGGAAACTTGAGAAAGAGCTGCAGAGTTGCCAAGGCAACATCAACACACTTAATAACAAACTTATGTATGACATGTAAGAAAATGATTCATTATTATTATTATTATTTTTTATTTATTTTTTTAGTACACACTTATATTTGTATGCATCTGTTTGTAAAGAAAGTATGATCACTGCACATGCCACTATAATATGCTACTGTTTACCGTCTGTGTGTTGTGTATGTAGGACCCAGTGTAACGCCCAGGTGCTGTCCCAGAAAGAGCTGTGCAATGAGAGAGTGGCTGCCGCTAAACTTGAAGCTGAGAAGAAAATGCAGAAGCTCATCCATACACCTGTCTCCTCACAGGTGGGTTTGGCTTTCCTGTTAAGCAGCGAAGCATGTGAAAGGATGCAAAGTCACTAGTCTTTCGACATGATTGAGACTTGGGCAGAGGGGTGGACCTGATTCTTTTCCTTTTTTTTTTTTTTTTTTAACACCTTTTTTTTTTTTTTTTTTTTGTCACCAACCCCGTTATGTTAATCAGGACAAGGTAAAATCTTAATGTCTTAAAACACTTTCCTACCATACGTGATTATCGTCACTACTGTTTTTACATTTTACCATTTTACTGTTTTTACATGCAAATGGGGAAATTTGAGTTCCTTTTGCTCGTGTTTGTTTGCGCATCTAGGCAAAAAAATAAAAAACCCTCTAATTCTGCATGGCAAGAGCTATGGAGCTGTGACACAGAATTGTATATTAATTTCTTAGCAGGAAAATGTTGGAGCAGTGGAAATCAACAAGTCAGTCAAGGCCCTGTCTGATGGAATTCCAGCAACTGCTTCAAGCCAAACACCAAGTCTCTCTCAACCCAAAGGCAATAAAGTCCATGAACTACTGACAAATGAAATAATGGTGGATATAAGTAAGACAAAAAACATAAATGGTCTGCTTAACTGAAATATACACTTGTACATATTGTGTGTCGAAGCATAGTTGGTGGACAACCTCACATTGCACTTGCTTTTTGTTATTTTCTTTCTAGTTCCCAGCGCTCCAGTGGAGCAGCCTACATCAAAGGATCTCTCCAAAGCAGGGCCAGAGTCCGTTCCCGCAACTGCTGCATTGAAACAGGAAGACAAACAGCCACAAGAAGGAGCTGACAATGCAGATGAGGTGGAAGGAGAGACTGGTAAACTTTTGGAGAATAATCTGATTGAAGACAAAGAGAATGAGGCGATGGATGCTCATGAAGAAGATCCTCAGACAGAAGGTAAATAATTTGGATAGTCACACAGATTTAATGTGCAGCTGTGTTTTGCTGCCTGGCAATCACACGTCCTGTTGTTTAGTGGAAAGACTTTACCACAGGGCCCAAACCAGTACTAACTGAGCACTTCCTCTTACTGTTTTTAAAATTTGAGAAAACTCTTCAGTTTAGTGAACAGAACCTCTTTGTTATGTAAGAGCGTTTTTATTAGAGGTAATTTTCTTTAAAACTTCTTCCTACTTCTTCCTACAATATTGGTGCTGATCGCTCCACAAAAGCTGCTGTACATGTGCACATGTATGAAAGCAAGTGTTATATTATAGTTTTTCATTTTCTAATTATGGTTTTATTATTTCATTTTGAATTTTAATTTTAGTTAGCATCCAGAGTTGATTTTCTTATTTCAGTTTAGTTTTTAACTGTTTGAAAATGCTTAGTTTCTGTGTTAGCTTTAATATTTTATTCATTAGTCTTTGGAGGGAATATGTTAGAGACAAGATTCAGGAAAATCAGTACATTTAAATGTTTTTCAAACATGTGTTTTTTGGTTTTTTGTTATTTGAGTTAACTATAATGTTTTTTCACATCTAGTTTTCGTTTTTAAGATTAGTTTTAGTTAACGATAATAATTTCTTTTGCTAATATATTTATAACTTGGAGTGTGTGTGAGAAAACTCGCCAGCATGTTTTACCAACAACCTCATTGACTGAGTAGCAAGAGATTATCTATCTATAGATTTTAGGCTATTCTTATAGACTTTTCAGCAAAAACAACTTGTTTTATATGGTTATATTTTGACATCTTTTATACCTTTTTTTTAATGTATTTCATTCTATCTGTGATTTGTTCTTTCAGAAGCAGACCCTGGAATAGAAGAGATGCTGATTGGTCGAGGAAAGGCTGATGAAACTCAAGCTGGTCAGAAACTTCAGGAACCAGAAGAGTACGACGCAGATGAACAAGTCGTGGGTGGAGAAGATTTAGAAAAACCACAGGAGAACAAACAGGATGAAAATATAGGTATGTGTTTTAAATAAGCATTTAGAGAGTGAGCGCATTCTGGTCTCGACAGGCTTTATGTCAGTAGGAAGGATGATTCTGAATGCCAGAGATAACCACTGTCCTTCAATCAAACTTTATCGTATAGCCCTTGGCAGTCCTAGTATAAATTTTTATGCAAAGTAAAATGTCATATGGCAATATAATCACTATAGCTATATTTATGTTCTCTAGCGAGCACAACAACAGAACAAGCACAGGCAATAGCTGCAGGGTTCGTACGGGTGCTTGAAATCCTTGAAAATGCTTTAATTTTAATGTTGTCTTTTCAAGGTTTGAAAAGTGCTTGAATTTCAGATGTGGTGCTTAAAAGTGCTTGAAAGTGTAGCTGTATTTCATTCACCTCAAACAACTATCTGATTGAATAGTTTTCCTTTCAGATAGAGAAATAAAATGAGTCGCAAAATGTCAAAGCAAAATTTCCCCGCCTGGCTGCCTTGTGTCTGTTTCAACGTGTGACCCCGCCCCTCCCTCGGCCAGTCGGGGATGAGTGCGCTAACATACCTGTAGGTTGCTGTTGTAATGAGTGTTGTCGGAAAACGACAATGGCGGAGTTTGCGCTCTCCAATTGCATGATAGGTGAGTGCTAGTAAATAATTTTCCAGTACGCTTACGTTACACACGCTATTTTTTTTTTTTTTAAATTATGATTATTATTTTGCTATCAAACTCGAAATGCACTGAGTGTGATGCAGTATGGCAGCGCTATTATGGAATATGCTGTGAACTTAGCTAACATTACTTAGCAGTGATATGAGTTAATTTACTCAAGTGAAAGGTTTAAACATTAGCCTGATACATAACTAGCCAACTTAGGCTTTCTGATTAACCCTCTGGGGTCGACGGACCCAGAGTCTCCATTTCAACTTGGGTTGAACGTGCGGACTTCAAACTGTATACCAGTTGTTAAATTGTGTTGATAGGCCACGTAAAACCAGTGTTTGTTTTTTTTCTGAATAAAACAGTGGCGTTTACTCCGGGAAGAAATGGTAAAAACTATTTTCTAAGGAGAGCGCTAGCAAACACGCTTTGCCTGTGAATGGAAAAAGAAAAAACACTCCATCCCTATTGGTGGAAAAATGTACCATGTCGACCAATCAAAAAATTATATGGCAACATGTGGCATCTGGTTGTTTGGGAAGAGGGGGAAGTTTTAGGAGTGACCGG